AAAAAAAAAAAGTTAACAGTTAGGAATACATTTGCTGGAACCCTAAGAAATACCGGTGCGTTTCCTCCTTACCCAATCTGCATTTTGTAGCTCATCCAAGTCTCGAACAGGTTGTTGAAGGGTTTCGCCTTCCATTTTGCGCAGATTCTGCCATGGAGAAACGGCATAGCCAAAAAGTCAAACAAATTAGTGGTAATTGCTGGCAGCGTGGCTACTGTACAAAAACAAGTCACACTGAGGGCCTGGTTGAGTAACATCCTAATTCGCTGGTATGTAAAAACACTGTGGCCACTCGGCATCACTTGGCGTGGCCCCTCGGCTAAGCTCCTTAAATAGTTGCATTAAGGTTACCCTATCGGTCACTTCACCATATTTTACAAAACGTAAGATTTGTTGCAACATTTGGCATCCTTTTGGCATTTTACCTCCTTGGCGCTCTTGATCTTCTCCAGGAAAGTGTGCAGTTCCCTGGACTCGGCATAGAGGGCGCGGCACACGGCTTGGTAGTGGTCCGGGGCGTCTGAAGGGCTCGGGAGGTGGGAGGAACACACCTGGATGGGGAGGAGAAGGGGGCCCAAAAACAATTCACACGGTAGATTAGCACTGGTGTGTAACGCAATGTACAATGAACGAGAAATGTTTTCAACAAAGCAAGCAGCCATTATATGCTACATTACTTTTGATAAATCAAAAATATTACAATAACTGATGCAATATAAAATATTAAATGAATTATTTTTAAATTAATAAATTTTGGCACAAATGTAGCATACAAGAGCTCCAAGCTCAGTGAAATTCTTGCCACAAACATTTCTTTTTAACGAGACAATGCTCATTACAATACAAAAATACATGATGCAATATTAACAAAAAACAAATTTACTAAATACATTTATTAAAAATAAATGTGAACACAGATTTAAAGATAAAGTAAGCCTTTTGCTCATTTAGGCATGAGTTTTTTTTTTAAACAGTGCTTTAAAATACTACAAAGAAGAAAAGATCATTTTACCATTAGCACATTAGCCATGCTACAATCTTTATGCTAACATTAGCATTTAGCGATTGTATATTACCTTCATCTAGGTCTAAAATAAATAAATAAATTTCCAGTCATGGTGACAGTTGCAAACAACAAGGGTAATTAGTTTAAATCACAGAAGAGGAATCACCGGTGAAAAATCTAAGTCTGCCTGCCATAGATAAACAAAATATAAGAAAACTACACTTTAGCTCTTGTTGAACACTTGTTACACACCCCAAACACCACAAAAAAGAGCTAAGTATTACACAAGCGGTGACAGTGCGGTGTTATTGCAAAAAGGACATCAGCCGATGAAACAAGTCATGCCAATGGAATACAGCGCACACTCATTCATTGCGTGCGTACGTGTGTCACACTACACAGGGTCCACTATGAGGAAGTAAGCCTGTGAATATTTCCTCAGCTTATTGCGCTGGAAATACCAAGTTTGTTCACGGGGCTGCGATCGGCAGGAATGTACAGCGTGACAGGCCCCATCAGCGGAACCTGTCGCACGGAAGAATGAGGGTAGGTGGGGGTGTGGGACCTGTGGGGCGTTCACGGCAAGGTACTTATGGGACCAAGGGAGAAAATCTCTTTGAACTAAGTTTTAAGTCATCAATTGTACTTATGACTGAATGTTAAGATAAGCTACCAAAAAGGAAGACCGCAGCATAAACTGCAGTAGGCTAGGGAGTGATCCTTGGAGTACACCACATCAGTGGCCTATGGTTTGATAATTGCGGAAGTCCACAGCATGAACCAAGGAATGTTTCCTTATAGAAAACCATAAATAACATAAGCAACATAAATTAGTGGTTCAAATTGTGATCCATAGTGTACTAGTTTTTACTTGCGGTAACTGTATTACGGTCCTACCGAGATCATGTCGCGGTAGCTTCGTATTTGGCTGACGCTGCCGCCCGAAGTCGAGACAGACAGCTGCTGCTGCTCCTCTTCTTCTTCCTCCTCCTCTGTAGCCTCGTAGCCCTCATCGGGGCAGGCGTCATCGCTCTCCGCCCCCTGCACATTGGTCATCAGGTCGATGAGGCGCTCCAGCGGTGGGCTCAGCTCACGCTCCTCATTCTCCTTCAGGCCATAGTCCAGGGCCTTGTAGATCATCACGCCTAACGAGTCGATTACCTGTGGTGCCGCAACAACACAAAAATGCTTGAGTCCAAATTGGATTGAGACAGCACGTACAGCACAAAGTATAGCAGGCCAAGATGGAATCCTTGTGGGACACCACAACATCAATAGCAATGGGTCAAGCTGTGGTCCTTGAGGAGCATGTCAATAACAGTTTTTGCCATAAAGAACATCGCTACATAGATTATTGTCATGCTGTGGTCCTTTTGGAACACAAAAAATGTTTAATAATGTACCAAGGTCTGACCGAGGGGCTGGGGGCGTTGGTATACATTGTAGTGGGCTACAGTGTGATCTTTGTAACACACCACAGCATTAACGGACTAGGATCAGGTCCCTAAGAAACCTCAAGTTGTGGTCTTTCATGAACATTGATGACAGGCTAAATAAAAGTGAGCCAAAGTTCCAACCAGCTAAATTCTGGTCCTTGAGGAACACCACTGCACACGGCCGCAGTGGCCATTGGAAATTCCGGGAGACCCCGAATGGGCGCTCCAACCTCCTTTACCGTCAACAAATACGTTCGGCAGATGCATTTCTGTGAAGTGCATGTCGTCCGTCGTCCGACCACCACCCCTCCCCCTTCAACGAATGCCACAATATAAACAACAGGGGTTATGGTTTAGCTGCTTAGGGTACAAAATAACATGAAATCCAGACTACAATCTGACCAGGAAAAGAGCATCACAGTATAAACCGAATCAA